TTTAGGAATTTTGTATAGAAGAAAAATTATAGATAATTATATTAGAAGTAACTTTTATTTGAAAAATTTTCTTCTCCAAACGTAAATAACAGATATATTCTATAAAATATATAAATGATCACCTATAAAGTACCCCCCCAGATGTTCCGACTCTGCCCAAAATCTAATCATTTCATAAGACGCTGGAATAAAGCTTAAGTTTAAAATTTGGTGTTTTTCTGTTTATCGGTTCATGAGTTATGCGTTATACAGACACACACACAGACACACACACAGACACACACACAGACATCATCGCGAAAACAGTCAAAACGGATTCAGGGGACCTAAAAACGTAAAAATCCGTCGAAAACTCGAGGTCGAAAAAAATCATGATTCCTATACTTTCCTTATATCTGTATACAGATAGGACAGTAAAAATTGAACTTAATAATTAAACTTTAGAAGTTCAAGAATACTGTAAGAATTTGAGTTTAACCCTCTAAGCGCGCATGTTGCTTGAGAGCAACGTTGATTTCAAACACCTACATTTTCGTATTAGCCATAATTTTGCGCAATACAACATCGTTGCCTACAAGCCACAACCGTCTTCTAACAACTACGTCATCGGAACCGCGCGTTAGTCTAGCTGAAATCAGTCAAAACCTTTTATTTTAATGTTCTGGTCATCGCTTTGTTGACAGTTGTGAATGCATTTGGATCTTATGACAATTTGGTGAGTAAAAATGGCTTTTTTATTGTGATACTTTTAGTTTATAGTGTGAATAAAGTAGTTATTGAGTATAACGAATAGTTTTAGTATAAAGTTGACCAAAAAAGTATGTCGCTTAGAAGCAACGTTGACCGTTAGCGGTATATAAGGTATTTTTGTTACAGAAACATGGAAATTCCTCCTCGGGTATTTTACGGTGGGACAAATAGATGCTTGGTTCCTACAAGTGCAGATATATCAGATGTAGAGTCCTTGTCTGATGATGAAGAGCTTGGAAACCTTAAAGAGGATGAAATTTTTTTAGATGATTCGGGGGATAAATATTTGCTAACCACTAGAATGCGAACAAGAAATATGGTGCTTCTTGAAGAGTCTGATGAAGAACTAAACGATGAAATTGTTATAAAAGAACCACCTGCAAAAAAAATTAAAAAAAGTAAGAAATCTGAAGTAAAATATATTTGGTCCGAAGATGATATACCCTCAAAATATGTTGCCGATATACCACAATCTGAGATAGATGAAGTTTTGACACCTTTGGAATATTTTACAAAGTTTTTCTCTCTAGACATTATGTGTGATGTAGTAAAGCAAACAAATCTTTATAGTACTGAAAAGACGGGTTACTCTATCAAACTGACTAACTCAGATTTCACAGATTTTATATCAATAATTCTAACTATGGGAATAATAAAATTACCTTCGATAACAGATTATTGGTCCAGAAATACTAGAATTGATCAAATAGCTAATATAATGCCACTCCGACGATTTACAAAAATTAGAAGATACATACACTTTGCTGATAACTCTCAAGTAACTCCTGACACGAAAGATCGATTTTTTAAAGTTAGACCTCTAATTGAGAAAGTTTGAAAAAATTGTCAAAAGTTTAATATTGACAACCAATACTCGATAGATGAAACTATGGTTCCTTATAAGGGAACTTTTGCAGGAAACCTTAGACAATACATAAAAAGTAAACCGCACAAGTGGGGTTTCAAACTGTTTGTAAAAGCAAGTGTATTTGGTGTCATCACCGACTTCATAGCATACCAGGGTGCCTTCACTTTTGACCAACTATCAGGAAGCACTAATGAACTTACTACTGAAGAAAAAGAACTAAGTGTCGGTCCTGGTATTGTTATTGCACTCTGTAAAACTCTTCACGATCCAGTGAACACGGTTGTATTTTTCGATAATTATTTTAGTAGCCTCCCATTGCTCACGTATCTCAAGAATCACTTTGGAATTCACAGTTTGGGTACATTTAGATCAGATAGGATTGCTGGTTGCCCACTGGAACCTGATAAAATTATGCAAAAGCGAAAAAGAGGTTCTTTTGTTTACAAGTCCGATCTAAATAAAGGAATTATTCTTGTAAAATGGCATGACAACAAATGTGTTTTTATTGGAAGTACTTATTGTGGAATCGAACCAATAAATCCAATCAAAAGATACGACAAAGTTAGTAAACAGAAAATTGACGTCCCTTATCCTTCCATTATAAAGCAATATAATAAACACATGGGAGGTGTAGACAAGGCCAATTCTCTTCTTGGACTATACCGTAGTCCAAGTAGAGCCCGAAGGTGGTATTATCCTCTGTTTACCTATTTACTCGACATGTGTGTCGTTAACGCTTGGATAATTTATAAACAAGATTGTGCGCTATTGAAAACAAAGCCACTACCTTTAAAAAAATTTCGACTTGAAATAGCTGAATCTCTTCACAAAACAGGAAAACCTAGAAAAGCGGGACGACCATCGATGGACGAAAAAATAGAAAAAATTGTCCACTATACCAAGAACAGACCAAACAACGCTACTAGAAAGGATAGTGTAGGACACTGGTCCATTTATGGAGAAAAAGGGAGATGTCGCTTTTGTAAAAATGATTACACTACAGTTCATTGTCAGAAATTTGAAATGAGACTCTGCTTGACACCAAACAAGAATTGTTTTTATAACTTTCATAATTCATAATAATTTTCGATAGTTTCTGTTTAGATATTGTGAACAAATTAAACTTTAGTTATGTGCATTTTGGGAGTTTTTATGCAATAAATTGCTACAAAAAAAACTTTTGTTTACTAGTGTTTCCTCCATTTGACACGCACAAAAAATTAGAACTCAAATGATCAATGTTGCCTCAAAGCAACATTCTAAGTTTACCACTAAATAACAATGTTGCCTAGAAGCAACCTAAACAAACTTTACTTTATAGATAAAAAATTAATATCGGGACAATATAGATATATAATTTGGGGCTTAAAAGTCATCCACACAAATTTTTATAATTTTACTAAAATTATTTGGGTGTGTGACACTTACAGGGTTAATCATAGACTCTAAACTTCGATTTAATAAACATATTACTGATAAAATGAAAAAGGCTTATTATTCTTTAAAATTAATTTATCCTCACAGATCGGAACTGAATATTGAAACTAAAAAACTATTAACAGAGTTCTGTCCCACTTTAATCACTGTGACACGGTCTATGGCCCCTTTCTGCGCAAAGTTGATGTAAATAGGGTACAAAAAGTACAAAACAGTTGCCTTAGATTAATATTTGGTATTAGACGTAGAAACAGAATATCCCACCAAGCTCAAACAAGTAAAATGGTTAAGTATGTTCAACAGACGAAAACTTCATGACTTATGTTTTTATTACAAAATAGTGAAAACAAAAACTCCACCCTATCTTCTTAACAAAATTAAATTTAGAACTGATGTACATAATTTGAATTTAAGAAGGCACCATTATATTACTACACCATCCTATAATGAGGAATTGTTTAAAAGTTCATTCTCTTACCAAGTTGCTTCTGTCAGTCATCTACTTAATATACCTAACTTTAATTTATCTTTTGAAGCATTTAAAAACAAACACAGGAAACAGCTTTTTAATAATCAATAATATACATATTATTATTTTGGTATTGCTGTTAAACTGCTTTTCTATGGGGATATTATGACTAATTTAAAATTTATTACACAGCTATGTCTTTCAGTATTTATGAATCTCTTTTTTTTTATTCTACACTGAGTATTTATCTGTATTAGAGATGTGTTGCGATTTTGCTGTCAGCTATTTTGTCGCCGCTACTTTCCTGTCGCTGTAGCGAACCGCTCCGGCTCTTTGAAAATCACTGCGACTTTTTGGAGCTGCTTTTAATTTAGGCACGTTTTCATTTAAGTACTACTACCGCTAGAAATGAATGTCGCTTCGCATATTTATCTGATGTGAACTGGAACTGCGATCAGAACGAAAACTATTATATTATATACTTCTAATCGCAGTCGCTAAAATTTGTATAAAACGAATAGGACATCTACAATACTTAAAAATGTATCTTTGGTTGCCCACTTTTCATACTCTTTTCTTTGAGATTGGGACATAGAAAAATTATTGGAGTGAAAAATTAGCCACCAAACATACACATACTTTATCTTTACACTACTAAGGGCCGATTGCACCGTTGTGTTAAACGAATAGTAAATTTAAAACCTGGTTTATTTCTTAACCTAGCGGTGGAATTGGGCTTTAAACAACAATAATTGAAGGGAAAAAGAAATAAAGTTGCTCAATCTATTTATTTAAAAACAGTACGAATTAAACAAACAAAAAAAAAATAAAAAAAGTTTATTGAAAACAAGAAAATAACAGAAATATTAAACTTTTCAAACAAACACTAAATAACTAAACAATTTATGTTTTATTAACATTTAAAAACATTATTTTATTTACTTTTTCTGATGTAAGTAGCCACCTACGTTCCGTTATAATTTGTCCGGTTTTTGAAAATATTCTTTCCGAAGGAACAGATGTTGCCACTGTTCTAAATTTTTCAAGAACGACTTTGGACAAATATGGATAATTATAGGCGTGCTTCTTCCACCACAAAAGGGGATCTTCTTTTCGATCCAACAGTCCATCTTCCAAATATCTCTGGATTTCAATTGTTGCTCTCGAAGAAAAAGTTCCTTTTGGTTGAAAAGAAGCTGTTCTTTTCTCAAAATGAGTCCAAATTGACAACCTTGCTTTTTTTGCAGATGTCGATTCTACTTGAATTTCATCATTTGTGTTTTCATTTCCTTCGCTGTTACTAGGATTATGATTATTTGGAATAGTTTCTTGTTGAATTTTGTGGGATACAAGGTTTATAACTAGTTTTTTTGTTTTCTCGGCTATTAAATCGGATGAAAATCCGATATTTTTAAACCGGGGATCAAGAAACGTTGATACCAATAACGTGTTATTATTTTCTAGGCCCCCTAATCTCTATTTTATACTAGCTAACATTTTCAACACCATTGTTTGGGTCATTGCAAACACTTCATCATTTTTCAGTTCCTCTAACATTTCTTGCAAACCTTTGGTCAAAATTATTAGGCAGGATAATGAAATGTACTTTTCACCGCTCATTTCTTTGGTGATTATTTCTAAAGGTTCCAAAACTTTTTTAATGTCTGCTAATAAACGCCACACTTCTACAAATATAACTGAGATTTTATTTGTGTTCAACAAAGCGATAGTAGTTCTGACCGATTCTTCCAATTCTAAGAATCGTTCAACCATATAGTATGTCGAATTCCATTAGTTCGAACATCCTGATGAGTTTCTTAGGCGTTAAACCATTTTGTTTTTGGATTTCCATTAATTTTAACGTTGATTTGGTACTTTTTTTAAAATGAGACACAATATTACGTACTTTTTGAATTAAACAGTCTACAACCGTCAATGCACTTTCAGCAATTAAGTTAATAGTGTGCGCATAGCACCCAAAATGTTTCCACTGCAGTTCCTCCCTCACCGCTTTAGTAATATTAGCGGCATTATCTGTCACGCAAATCAAAATTTTATTTTCGAGTCCCCAAGTTTGCATTGTTTGTCTTAATGCCGATGCCAAATTTTTACTTGTGTGATCTTGTTCGAATTCTGAACATTCTAACAAAACTGATTTAATCGAGAAAGTTGTATCAATGTAATGTATAGTTACAGCCATGTAACTTTGTATGCTGATTGAAGTCCAGCAATCTGTGGTGACAGTTACAAATGTTACATTTTTTAGAAGATTAGTAACATTTGTAGTTGTTTCTTCATACACTGCGGGTAAAATAATACTTGTTATTGTTTTCCTAGTCGGAATTGTATATGCAGGATTTAAAGTATTTACAAAGTTTCTGAAGCCAGCATCCTCAACAATACTAAATGGTTGAAAGTCTTTTACCACTAAATCAAGTAAACATTTATCTAATTTATTTTTCATGAAAACACCCATTTTCTTCGGGATATATGGAAGTTTAGTTTGTTGCTGAACCCGAGCCTGAACCACCTGATGACTACTACTGGTAGAAAGTATTTCAATTTTCTCACAAATTGGATTTGGATATTTTGAACATTCTCCTTCTTCTTCAGTAGAAATTTGGGTTAAGGTTGTTACTGTTTCATTAACTTGTGTCTTTTTTTTACCCAAATTTAATTTCACTAACGGATGTTTCCGTTCTAAATGTTTAGTTAAATTATTAGTTAATGTTTTATAACTTATTTTTTGCTGGCACATATTACAAGTTGCTTTTTCATTTGAAGTAGGTTTAAAAAAGTTTCACAACTCCGATTTTTTTCGTTTTTCCATTTCAATAAGTTACTACCTACTACACACAATAGAAAAATAGTACTGAATAATTAATTAAATACATTCACTAATAAACCAAGAACCACCCAAGAGAAACGCGCCTTCTTGTGAAAAATAAAGAAAGTTTTTACATTCTAAAAATGTTTTCTGTAATTGAAAACGAATGACAATTGTGGAATTTACTTAAGATTATAATAGATGGCAGCAATAGTAATTGATCGTTTTTTAATCTTCAAACTTGATCTTATAAAAATAAAATATAAAATTAACATCTTATTAAATTTAAAAAAATATTGTATAAAAAGCGGAGATAACCAAAGACATGAAAAAAGAAAAAATAAGAATATTTAAAACTGCTTCTAAGAAAATGCAACGAATTCAAAAAATAGCAGCTCCCTTTTCTTACGTTAGTACGTGACACAGGTCATAAGTCGCAATCTAGTTTACCGCTCCGAAAAGTCGCGGCGATTTGTCACTGCGACTTTTTCGGAGCAGTCGCTGTTTGTCGCTGCGACACGAAAATTTCGTCGCAACCCATCTCTAATCTGTATGCTAATGTTCTTATATCTTTTCTTTGCATTTTGTTAATGTATCATGTGAGAATCTTAAACTTTGTTTTATACATATATAAGTAGACATAATTTTTTTTTAATTAAGCTTAGATTAATTTAATGAAGGGTGGTGTGGAAGAATCGGTCTTAATGAACTAACACCATACCTAATATTTGCCGATTGTTGTTGTTGTAATGTGAACTGTTATTGTGATATATATTTTTTTTTACTGGCAAATAAAAATAATTATTATTATTATGTACAATTTCTAGCGGTCTCGAAGCTCTATGTCTAGTTTCTTGAAAGGAAAGTCTCGTTTGCTTGGCTTGGAAGCATATCTCACATACTGGATCTATCTTGGCAAAGTCTATAATTTTCATATTTATCGCAGTGGACATGTTTAATAATTTTTTAATGTTTTATATACCTAAATGTCCCAGTTTTCTATGCCATTTAGATACTTGACATGTTTGTTTTGTTAAGAAACATTCTTGAGGTGTTTTGTCTATGTCAATCATATATAGTCCATTTTCAGTTTTCTCTCCTTCTAATACTTTTTTACTGTTCTCCTGTAATTGTAACAAATAACCAGGAATTCTGCATTATTTTTCGTAGTTGCACTCACTGATAATAGATTTTTACTTAGTTCGGAAATGTAAAGAACCTTATTTAAAATGCAGGTGTTACTTTCTATAATGCCTCGACCTTCAGCTTTCATACTTTAATCTTTTTTAGCTACTTTTGTTTCTAATTTCTAAACTTTCAGTTCTTTGAACAAATTTTTGTTATTGGCCATGTGAGAGGTTAAGCCACTGTCTAATATGAAACCAAAATTTTATTTTTATTTTCATGTGCCATCAATGCTACTTTGCTATCTGATCTTTCTTTTTTTCTAAAGAAACAGTCACGTTCTTGGCGGTTTGTCTTTTTGAATATGTTACAGCCCGAAGTAGAGGCTATGGTGGATTTTTGTAGTAGCATACTTTTGCGGTATGTCCAGGTTTTCCACACACATAACATTTTTTGGAAAAGTTTTTATTTTGTGATTTTTTTTTCATAATTTTTACGCTCAGATCTCTTATTTTCTGAAGCTTTAAATGCTACTTTTTGTTCTTGTTCTTTATAACGAATTTCTTCTGATACTAGTCAAGCAGTAAGATTAGTAATTGTTCTTTTATTTTCTGGATAGACTCCCATGCTGTGGTAAAATGTTTAAATTCTTCAGGTAGTGTATTAAAAATCTTTGATATTAAAAGACTGTCTTCTAGTTTTTGATTTAGCGAATGCAGCCTGTGAGCCAGACTTTCTAGTCTGTTTATATTTAATGCAATATCAATGTCTTTATTAAATTTAAAGTTAAAAAACTTCTGTAACAGTGAACACTTTTGTTGCTCTGTATCCCGCTGATAGATTTTACATAGTTTATTAAACATTTCATAAGATATTTCACAGTTCATTATAATAATAATAATAATAATAAATTTATTCACTCAAAATGATGATACAACAGATAATAAAACATTAATTAATATAAATTTATAAACATATAATCCTTATCAGCAATTATTACTAAAAGTAGAGTAAACAAATGGTAACCCACAAAGGTATGACCTGTCCGTGGGTGATTCCATTTTTGCTCGTCTCCAATTTTTAATGTATTAAAATAAAAATAAAAATTAAAATATTATACAAAATATCAATAATATTTAACACACAAACATATATAAATAATTTAGTATAAATTATGTAAATACTAAGGCGTAATTAAATTATGAATCACTTTTCTATCACATTTTAATACAAAAGTTTTAGCTTTCTTTTTAAAAATACTTTTTGATTTACAACTTCGAATATTGAGAAGAAGGAAATTATATAGCCTTTTTGAAATATAATTATAACCTCTTTGACCAATGGTTTTTGAAGCTGATACTATTTTTAATAACTTATTTGTTTTTTGTCTAGTTATGTTGAACATGACTGTTTGTTTTTATTTCAATAGAAGTAACTATTTTATAAAAATAAATCTGTCTAATATCAAGGTTATTTGATTCTTGATACAATGTATCAGAGGGATAGAGAAATGGTTTATTTAATATTATTTTTAGGAATCTCTTTTGTAATACTTCTAGTTTCTTTAAGTGATTATCCCCCAAACCTCCGTATCCCACAATTCCGTATGATATACGCGATTCTACTAAAGCAGAATATAGTATTTTTAATTGACTTTGATCTAATATATTCTTTAAATATTTAAATCTGTATAGTAAGCTACGTAAAGTTGAAGTAACCCTATCAACATGTAAATTCCATCTAAGGTGCCTATCCACAGTTATTCCTAAATATTTTATGTTTTCTTTTGCATAGATTTGTATGTCTCTATTATTATATTTTATTTGTAAGGTGTCATATGTCGGCAATGAATTTGTATAGCAACTAAAGGGAATAAAACAAGTTTTATTAAAATTAATGGTTAGTAATTTTGAATTAAAACAATTTATTAATATACTCATATCTGCTTCTGATTTCTTTTTTAGTGTAACCTACAAAATGAACTTGGTGATTCCACCAAAATTTTTTAAACAAAAAAAAAAAATTATTAAAGTATTAACTACAATTAAAAATGTTGTCTACTACGGTTACACAAGTTTCGGTTGTTCCGGTGTCAACCTTCGGGCCTTCGACGTCGCTCAGACGGCAGCTAGGGGGTGGATAGCTTACAAAAATTCCGGAAATAGTAGACAAATAAATAGGCGCCAACTGGGTCTATATAGTGGCCAAACTATGATCCTATTTCCCCAAAAACCCAGTAAATGAGGAAAGAAATAAAAGACAAACCTCAACTTATGTTCCTTTATAAAGAAAAAAAAAAAAATATTTAGTAAATATACAAACTAATTACCTGATGGCTTAGATAATAAAAAAAAAAGTTGGAGGAAATTAAAAGGAAAAAACTTACACAGTGTATGTATATGCATAACCCAAAAAAATTAATAAATGTATCAAAGTATGGAACGGTTCGTCGTTAGCTTGGTACCAGGCATGACGCTTGCGCAAAACATTAATTTCCACCTTACATAAAAAAAATATAATATAATAGTTAACTTAAATATTGTGCATCACCGTACCTATACTACTTCATATATTATAAAAATAGTAAACTTATAATCTTCATAATCTTATAACCCTCTCCAAATTGGAAGGCGATATCTGTTTAACTTTTGGTTAATACCAAACTACCCAAAAGAAAATTATTAAACCATGAAATTTTATAATTAAGTATAATTCATAGAACTAAATAAAAATATCAAAAAAAATAATAAAAATACAACATATAAAGGACTTTAGACAGAGGTTATTTAATTAAACTCCCAGATTGGAAGAGGTTACTTAATCTCTGCCCCCACACGGGTCTTCTGAGATTGCTTAACTTATAGTTAAGTCTTATCATAAAAAGAAAAATAAACAAAATGTAAAAGTGAAGAATAAGGTTAAATTTGACTGTAGTTCTTAATAACCGAAGATTTACAACTTATGCGTAGAAGCAGCCCAGATGTTCCGCAACTAGAAGAATCACTACTCCAGCATTAAGTACTTATTTAAATAAAAAAATAATAATAATAATAATAATAAATGAAAGATACACAAAGGACTTCAGACACAGAGGTTATTTACTTAAACTCCCAGATTGGAAGAGGTTACTTAATCTCTGCCCCCACACGGGTCTTCTGAGATTGCTTAACTTATAGTTAAGTCTTGACCATTTAATAATGAATAAATTGAAAAAAAGTAAAATTATGGCAGTAGCCCTTAATAACTGAAGAATTACAACTTAAACGTGGAAGCAGTCCAAGTGTTCTGCGACCCGAAGGATTACTACATCAGCATTAAGTGCTTAAATTAAGTAAAAGCTTTGAAATATTAATCAATTAAACGATGTAACATTTGATAATACTTAAGTTATGTGTGAAAGAACCCTAGAACATTCTGTGCTCAAAAGTATAAATAATGTTGAGAATACCTTGACAACATTCGGTTGAAAGTGAATGTATAGTTTAACAATGCACACATGAAACCTTCAATATAACATATAAGAAAAACCTGATAGTAGGGTGTCTTCTTTCACAGCATTCCCATCTTCCTATCCAGAACAAGAAACATTCTTGTAAATCTAGCTACAAGTAAACTAGGTGGCTAGCATACCAATGTTCTGTGTCCCCTCGATGAGTCCACGATGAAACCGTTGAACTCCGGACGATATAACCCTCTGTGTACAACTGCCGAAATCCTGGGTCAACAATCCCTTGGGTCAAACTGTCGT